TCGAGGAAGACAAGTAAATACTGTGGGCGCTCGGACAGCTTGTATCTCACGTTTCATTTGTTGCACTATTAAACTGTCCTTCTGGAGAATACAAATAGTCAATAGGAAGCTGCCATCGAGCACTCAGAAACTTGTGTTCTAGGCGGCACCGTGTTTTCCTGCATAGTTGCATAGCCTGTGTCTTGAATGAGGCAAGCGAAGGGTCCTGTTCAGATGGCAGAGGGAGATTTAGTCTTTCAAGTACTGAATACCAGCCACGCTTCTTAGAGCAGGGAAGGGGCATTTTCAGACACAAAATGCAGTGTTTTGAGACAAAGATGCACTTTAAGACTAATTAAGATAAGCATGCTATTCCCAATAAGCTTTGGAAGACTTGAACTTTCGTTGCACTTATCATTTGCTTCCTATTGAAAATATGGTTTTATTTCTTACTATTATGAGGGACACAACACATTTGGAGATGGAAACCTCAGCTTTCCAGTTGTCTTGTGTCATGACCCAAAGCTACGTAAAAAATCACTTCTTACTCTTCTGTAGGCTCTGACTTCTTCCCTCCTCCAAAAGCTTCAGTTTATTGCATTTTCAGAATCGTTTTGTTAGTAATGTTACACAAAATCTTAAGTATTTTGGCTGCACATTTCCTATTAATAGGTAAGTACTTTCCCCTTCATCCCCAATAAATATATAGACGTGTCAGTAGCTAGTGGCACTATCTCCCCTTCTGGGCCTTTCTGTTAGACAAAATACAGGCTACAGATCTCTCCGTACAGCCCGCTTGTGCCCACTTCCTTCATGGCAGGGATTGTACAAGCGCTAACATCTTTGAGCGGCTCTTCTAACAACCTGTAGCCCTCCTGCGACTTCACAGAACACCATATACCTTCCATATACCATGAATCCTACTGCAAAGCCACACGGTGCATCGCAGCGGAGCAGATTTACAGGGCTGTTTACAAGGGGGAGGGATAGTGCTCAGGACATCTGGTTGCAGCCAAGGAGCATTGTAGTGCTCCAATTTACACACAACAAGAAATTACAGACCTTAAAAAAAAAAAAAAGAAAAAAAGAAAAAGAAAACACACCACCAGGAGCACCACCTCCACTGCTTGGACAGCTGCTTTTCATAGGAACTGTCTGCCAGATGAAATACCAAAGCTTAGCCAGATAAGATTATATAAACAAGCTGAATTCCACAGAGAAGTAGACTGCCAGGCTCCTATAGGCACAGTGCACTTTAGGCTCCGCTTTTTGAGTGTACATGCACTCATGGCTTATTATTTCCTCTGGGAACTGTGGAACATTAGTTGACAGCTCTGGAAAGTACTTCAAAGACAAAATTACTTCCACGAGGGAGAGCAGCACTTCAGGCAGCTTGGGAATGAGGCCAATGAGTCATTAATAGTGAAGGGTAACCCCTCAATCCAGCGGATCTCCATTACTGCGCATTCGAGTTACGAGCAGTCATAAAACCATTTTAAGGGAACATGTCACGTTTAACCCTTCTACCTTTCTAAGCCCCAGCTGCAAAGAGTGTCTGCATTTTATAGAAGTTGCACTCGGTGTCCATTTTCCCAAACGGATCAAAACCAGCAGCATTTGTGAAAGCAATCACACAGCAAAGGAGTTGGCTGGGTATCACCGGTGACCTGCAAGACTGACTGACCACATGCAAAGGGATTTAAAAGGAAACAGATACAAAGTGAACTATGGCTTAGAGTTCCTGCACCACAAAAATCACTCACCAAGGAGCATTTATCATGGGAAAAAATAAAGCTATCTGAATGCTAACACTGCACTCTGCATGTTATGGGAGTACTGGAAACAGCTACCTTGCTTCCAGCAACCTCTTGGTGAACCAACCTGAAAAAACACACGTGGGGGAAGTACTTGTAGCTGCTATTCCAATGAAAGACATTTAATGTAATCCCTACGCGCACATGCTCCTCTCTCCCCCTTCAGATCACTGTCACAAGGAACCGAGTTAGAGTTTCAGGCTGCCTAAACAACATAGTTTAGCTGTGACATCCAGCAAGGCTTCTGAAGCATGCACAAGATCAAAGGGGACAGGTTCAAATTAACAAAAGAATGTGCTACCTGAAGAAATACAAAATCCACGCTTTCCTAAGCCTTATTCCATCAGAGTTTTTGTAAGAAGTGTTCAGAAGCTTTGTTTTAGACTGTAGACTCAGTGGCATACTTCTGAAAAGAAATCTCACCAAACGGCTTAAAGAAAATTCAAGCACAACTTGCTACTCCGGTCTAGCCCCTACTACGCGTAGCAGACAGCAGTTTTGCAAAGATGATCTTCTACAGTGGTTCAGTATTAAAGAGAGAAATTTCCCTTCCAAATTAGGAGTGCTCATCAGCAGGTCAGGATTGAACTCTGAGGAACATCTGTCTCTCTCCTCTCTTGCCCAACAACTCAAAATATCCTCTCTCACAAAAGAATGAACATCTTGTTCCTTAGTGAAGAGCACCTTGCAACAAGCAAACCTGTAACTGCAATAGGTTCAGCTGCCTTCAACACCACAGGTGCCTCGGAGAAACTTGCTGACCTCAAGGACACACACAGGCCCTTGAGAATTCAGCCTGCAGTGGTGTGGTCGCCTGCACTTCCCACTGCTTGTCATGGGAGGCCACTGTTCCCTTGCTAAGCCTCCTCCCTCCTCAGCAGAAGTCCCTTGTGGCCAACTTCTGGGTGCTCCCAGGAGCGGATGCTCTTGCTGAACATCCATGTTTGCCCCAGGGATAGGGAGAGGCCAGAGGAGATGCTACGCAAGGCAAGCAGGCGGTCAGGCCTGCACCTCCCAAAGACATCCTCGCCCTCCGAAACATTCAAGCCCAGCAGGCAGCTCCCCGCACTGGTCAAGAATACAGGGAATGGGCTACGGATCCTACAAACCAAGTCAAGCCTGATACTTGCTCTTCTGCTCAAGAACGGTCAGAGCCACTTGCTGCTTTGTGGAGATTTGAAGTGATTTTGTGAAACTTGTTTTCATCAGGTCTGAGACACATTCTCCTTAGATAAAGCATTTATTTTTAGCAGAAAGACTTTCATTGGGGTCTCTTTTTCCCCTTTGTGGGAACGTTACGAGGACAAACTGCATTTAAAGGAAAAAATATTTACTAGAATTGCCAGGGTCCTCTTCCTGACTAATTTCACAGTTGTCTGTGTGGAGCTGCCACCCAGCAGCAGCAGTAGGTGGGTGATGCATGCAGAAAATGCCAGTGCCTGAGTCTGAAAAACTGAATCCTGCACCACCATGCACGCAAGCACTCCTGATAGCCACAAGAAACTGCATTAGATCAGCTGAGGGTATCAAAAAGGTAAGGCTATCAACCCAACCCAAGGGTCTTAAAATATTTTTCCCCGCCCAGCGATTGCTACCACCCCAACCTATAATTATGTGTAACCTCTTCAGCAAGCCATCATTATAAACTTTACCATTTAAAGCTAAGCTTTAATTATTTTATTTCACTCCCTCTATTTTGACCTGCAATAAACACATTGTACCTTTACTATTCAGTCACAAGCTCAGGCTATGGGCCAGTACAACATTTGCTCCTGATACGGACACAGAGGGAGTCCATTTGTTCCAAAATATGTGCAAGTATTATGCAAAGAAAACACAGCAAAGCAAAATGAGAGACCAAACTATAATAGCTCCTACGAAGCACAGCAAACACAGTAAAAACGTTATTAATGACAGCAGCAGCCGTGGATTTAGCTAGGTATTCCATGGGAATTGAACGCCACTATTTCCCAACTGGTAGCAGGACAATAGTTACTTTTTGCAAAAGTCTAAAGTTTGGAAGATAAGAAAGGTAAACAGTTGACACACTGAAACAAAGAGCAGGTCTGGGAAAACACTGTCTCCTTTTGTACAGTTGCAATATTTGGAATAATGCCACAATCAATGAAAAAAATCCCCCTTAAAGTTACTTTGATTCCATATACAAACTTCAGAGCTCTGAGAGAAACTAGAGTTGTTGCCCTATAGTAGTCTCAGGAGTGTCAATGAAGCCTGGAAAGGCAGCACAGCACTGGATAACGAGCTGGAAGTCAGGACGGGAGAGCAAAATAAAGGCAGCATATTTGCAAAATATTTACAGAGAATTATCTACGGGGAGCTACTTGGCATTCAGGTAACTGCCAATCGTGTTTCTGGAATGTTCAAGTGATCTTCATATTTCAAAGGAAGGGACATCCTAGAGATGGCAGCACTAGCTCTTAATGAGAGATACCTGTAGACTACCTGGATGGCTGTGGGCAAAATGACTCCACTGGGCTTTATGTTCTCCCTTTTTGTAAGTCTTTCCTATCTAAGACTATGCTTCTCTCTCTCTCTCTCTTTTTTTTTCTTTTTCTTTTTTAAAGCAGTGTTTCCAGCTGAAGCGCGTTAAAGACTGAGATATCCTAAAACCATCGCAATGGGGCCATTCAACTCTTCTAAACATTAAAATAGTGCGATACAAGGGTGTAAGCAAACAAGAATCACCACAGAACAGAAAAGTCTTTTTGTCCCGCATTCTTGTGCTGAGTAACACCTCATCCATCCCAAGCTAGTTCAGACATGCAAGTTTGGAAGCTCCTTCTCCCACTTCTACCTCTGAACTCCCAGCAAAAAGGAACCAAAAAAGCCCCCCAACTTTGCAGAAGTTCATAGTTAATGAAGAGTTAATATTTCGAAGGAATAAATGACAGTGTCTTTTACAGACTTTTTAAAATCATATATGCTTTAAAAAGTAATCGCCACTGCATTTTTTTTTTCACAGATTTTTTTTGGTGGTTTTGTTTTGTTGTTTCAAACACAATTGAAAATTCCCCAGGGTTGCACTCTTCTCTTCAGAAAAAGCACACAATCATGCTTTTATAGCCTTGCTGCTGGGGTGCAGTAACAGCATGCACACCTGGCACTACACGGGGAAGGAGAGAAGAGCGTTTATGGTGCTTCAAGCAACGCTTTTCCTATTCCCTGCCTCCACACCAGCAAAGCGCAAACAAGGCCTAGATTCTGCTTCTTACTGCAGAATTAAAAAGGTTTCAAAACACAGGTGGCCTAAGAAATTAATTATGATCTCTGGGGGTCTCCCAGGCGCCGCTGGCTGGAACGGGCCATGAGATGAACACGGTGCCGGGGCCCGCGCGCAGCCGCGTCGTCTCTCACCAGGCCGCCGTGGAGGCCGGTGCCTCCACTGAGGCCTTCCGCGCGCGGCCGGCAACACGGGCTCCCCACAGCGTCTTTCGGTGTGGAGAGCACGCGGGCCGTGGCAGGAGAGCGGATGCTCAAGACTAGAGCCCATTTCACACGTGTTGTCAACGTGACACTCGCTGTGCTACGCCCGGGCTTCGCCCCACGCGCGCGCGCCTCGGGCCTCTCCTCAGAGCTGCAGGAAAGGAGTCAGCACGTGCCCCCGGACACCGGTGTAACTGAGGGGTTCTGCCCCCTGCTCACCACCAACCGCGCTGTTAGGCTTCCGCTTTTCTAAAATACCAAGCATTGTTCTGCAAGATCAAAAACACTCATAAAAACACACAGGTGTTTATGCTGTTTTAAGAAATATGGTTTCTCTGCTTAAATAATTTCTGAGATACTCTTTGGTTGTTTTGGATCAGGTGCCATGGCATAAAACATGACAGCCATCGTAAACTACATGGCTTGTGCATATTTCCCTTTAAAAAAGCGTTTCTTCTCCAGAGCCTAGGATATAAACAAGGGAATGGTAGATAGGAAGTGATTATTCAGAAATTAAAAATAAATAAATAAATAAAATTTAGATCAGGTGCCATGGCATAAAACATGACAAGTGAAGCTAAGAGTTACTGTTGCAAAGGCAAGAAAATGTTTTATTTACTAAGCCTAGTCCAGAGCTCATGTACAGTATTTGTCTACTTAATGAACATCAGTGTTGGCAGCTGCAAGCGCCGATGTGTCTCCTGAGGATCCCAAGTTATTCCGTGCATTTCACCAGCGAAACAGCACTGAGCAGCAGCACAGACCTTCCATTTCTATCTGAGCAAAAAAGGTCCTCGGATTTGTTTGCGCTGCCGGTGGTACCGGCGAGTGCCTGACCACACAACTCTCCACTATTTGACTGGCACAGCTCTTCCAGATACACTCAGCACAGGCACTGCTCAAGTTGAATACTCTTTTCAGCTATGAGCTTTGGCCTTCAACAGCCTCAAAGAGGCCTGGTATTCCTACCTCTGGGAATTCCCTTCTCAGTCCCATGATTTCCTGTTACAGCAGAAGACGACACAGTCATCCCCACATTTAGTGACAGCGAGTCATGATCATTTATTAATTCATATTGCTTCGGGGCAGGAGTGTGCAACATGCACGCACTGCTCAAAGAACGTACAGTATTCACAACGAGATCCCTCCCTTGGGAAAGTACACGGACTGTGCTTTGACGGGGCCCTTCTTGTGCCTGCAAAAATTAAGCTGTGGTCAGACCACGGACATGCAACTCTTCGGTGTGCACCGAGTGATTTACTACTATGGCAAATTCCGGAAAAGTCACCTCGGAGAAAGGCGTCCCACACAAGAGGGATAATTACATAAATCACTTTTCATCTGTGGATCCCAAAATGCTAAAAACAAAAATTTACTGCACATGGGAGACTAACACTCCCATGCTTGAGCTGAAAAGCTGGAGAATACATAAGAGGTTACGTAAAGCCCAGCAGCTTTAAAAGGAAGGAGGTGGAATTTGTAGGGCTCAAAGGCAGGAAAGAGCAGATGCAGAACACGAGACTTTGTCTCATTCCCCTGCATAGCTTGTTTCCAAGAATGCTTTCAACACAAGTATCTCTAAACACAATAAGGCAAGTGCTGGCTAAATTAACTCAGGGAAAGCTTTAACACAAGCCGTGTTCCTGCCCAACAGTGTTCAATTGCTACCAGCAGCTCTGGATCACCACTTATTTCTTACTGCTAATCATGATGCCTTCTTCCACCTTCAGCTTCTGTTGGGGTATTTCTGGCGAGCAGACAGCTAAATCTTTGCTCCTCTGATAAAACAAGAATGAATACATTTTTTTTTTCTTTAGACACAAGTTCAGTGGTTTTCTTTTCCCCTGTATCTTTCCTCACCTCACTCTCTAAATTGCTAGACAGCATCAGGAACTGGCAAGGCCTTTAATAATAAGATCAGGCAGTGTTACTAAACCCATACTAAATTCCCACAGTGGGAGCCAAAAGGTGACCAAGACAAGAATTATGTGATGATGCACCCTATTTACCGGAAGAAAACAGTTCCGGCAGTGTGAGAAATAAGAAACATTATTTCTGTAAAACAAACTGTGCTGGAAAACAGGTTTCTAAAGCCTACAGCATGGGTTTCTGCTAAAACACTCCAAGGGGATGCACAGATTTGGTACTGGGTTGTGCTGCATTTTGCATGCATTCATTAACATGCTAGCTAGTAAAACTGGATATTTGAACTGTGCCCATGCCACAAAGTTTTGTGGCTGCAGTAGAGCCAAACATTAAGAACCAACATCCGTCTCCTGAAAGACATGTTTGTGCTTTGCCTATGTTAAGCCTGACGAACATATTTAAAGACAGCCAAAAATGGAAACGGTTTTGTGCTACATTCATAAACACAGCATCAACACCTAGCACCTTCTGCAAAAATGGAAGCAATCCGAATGCTTCCTCCTATCCCAAGCAGCAGATCAGGCGCTGAGGAGACAGGTTACACAAGTTTCAAAGTTAATGACACCTGCACTTGGCTTAGCAGTTAACACCACCTTAATCCAGGCAGCTGTAGTGGGGGAAAGAAGCAAAGGCAGAAATAGGAGACCTTTCCAGGCTTCTTTTCCCTTTACTCCCTTGGATTGTATTTATTATCTGCTTGGCTCCAGTTTTTTCTTTGGGGTGCATGCATTTTGGCACATGAGAGCTCACCTTGGCTTTTTCTGTACTGCTTCGTTTTTAAACCATAGCAATTCAAAAGCTGGTTTAGCTGAAAGGAATCATCCTAAATCTTCAAGCTTTACATTGCAATACACGAATTGAGTATTTGAAGTTTAAGAAAGAAAATGCAGAAAAACAAAAAAGCCTCTAGCTATGAATCACCTGCTTGTCTGGACAGGACAGAAATCTGGGAAATCCTGATCCTAAGAGTACCTGAAGCACACTGCGAGAGTGACAAGACTTTCAAGACCAGGTAGGCATTATGGATACCAAAATGCCAGGGAATGGCAAGGAGAGAGTCATCTGTAACACAGATTCCTGCCGGAAACACCCCACGGTCCTGTTTGACTGATCTGATGGGAGAGGCAGAAAAACAGCAGCTGACAAAGTTATCATGCCAGACTTCACATCGACTGCTCGCCCAAACAACCCGGGAAGCTGTTGGAGCTGAGCTTGGCCCTTTAGCCAGCTTCAGAGTGTTGCGCTAATTAAAAAGCCTTTGCTCTTAGGTTAGGCGGCCCCCAGGAAGTGAGGAGGAGATTCCTTGCCGTGTAATAACGTTAGTCAACAGGTCGCAGGGCTCTGAGCGCTGCTTGCACTGAGCAGGCCGCATGCCGGTGGCCGCGGAGGAGACCCGGTGCGTGGTGCAGCGCCAGCCCGAGCCCTGTCGCAATGGGAGCTTTCTGCAGACGCGCAGCATGAAAACCTCCCCAGGAACTACAGAACCATCTCAGCAAGCTTCCCAAAGAGCTAGCGGGGCAGAAATCCACTGATAAACCAAAGTGTTGCTGGCTGGCGGGTTACTAGATACTGCTGGGTCACCTCATCAAGGACAAACTCCTAAGGGAGTACTATTGCCATCTCCAGCCCTGGATTTAACAACTCCCCTCTAAGAAGCTCTGCAAGAAGTGAGCTGCTCTATACACTTTGGCAGTGATCTGCCAACCAACAGGGAATACCCACAATGTCACCAACTGCTGTTTACCAGCTTCAGCAAGTCTGTGTTTCCACACTCTTAGTTTGGTATGGCCAACAGCAAATCCTCAATTCAGAAGTCACTACCTAACATGCCTGAAAGCCAGGAATCTTTAAGAGTTAAGCCAATCATTTAAGAAGAATACTAGTAGATAGGATCATACAAAGGGCTGAGTTTCTTTTGAATATCTACACTGTGCTTTCATCTTATACCTGCAAGGTCTTCAGCAGAGGGGGAAGCTCAAAAATTGGATGTGTGTTAAAAGTGAGCCCAGAGCAGCCACCACCTTGGGCTCTCTCTGGGCAACCAAGGGCACCCAACACATCCACTTGCTACACAACCTCCAGCAATTTACATATTTGCGCCCTGTCTGATGAGAAGGGCTGAAAGAACACACTGCACTTACAGAAGTCTTCCTTACTTCACTTCAAAGAAGCTCTGAAATAGCCTGCTTGTATTTGGAGCCAAAAGTTGACTTTCAAAGTGGTCTAGCAGACATGCATTGAATTCACACCTTTGAAGCAGGCAGAGGACCAACACAGAACCAGACTTACAGCATGGCAGCGGTTGAGTTGGGCAAGTCAGACAGACAGCTGTCTAAAAAGCCACAAGAATACACCAAGGAGTCACTTGAGAGAAAATATGTTAAATGAGTAGGGTACTTAAAAGCAGGCAAAGGAAAACCAGCTTAACAGATCTATTATCCTCAGAGGGCTTATTTTTTCCAAGTATGCAAAGTGCCTTCATTACCACGATGCTTTATAAAAGGTAAAAAGCTCAGTATTCCTATGAGGCAGGATCCTTTCAAACAATTTCAAGCCTTTGAAACTAGTGACCCGCAAGAATGAGGACACAAAGCCTTTATACTGTGTTGATTCAGAAAACTGAAGATGGATCTTGTCACCTTCCCCCAATCCAGAAAAAAAAATCTGTGCTCAGATTGATTTAGACTACATAAATGTATTTTCTAGCTTTTTGACTGTCTCTGGTGCTTTTCTTGAGACCTCAAATGGAAGAAAGTAATTTTTAGTATATCCTATTCCCTTTTTTTGTCTCAAATTTATAGATGTCTTTAAAAGAAATTAAAATAAGGTAAAACTTTGCCTAACCCTTCAGGTTTTATTTCCTTTGCAGAGCACAGTCTGTGCCCTACCATCTTCCACTGGCTCGCAGACAGGAACAATAGTGGCTTATGCTTTTAACACAGCAACCCAAATAACATGAAACAAAAGCCTTCCAAGAGCCTCGCTTTCTTTTTCTTTTAATGCAATACTAGTACCTGCTGCCCACTCTGCAGGTCATTTTAGGCATTCTTATTCTCTGAGCAGACGGAAAATCTATCTCTGCAAACATAAGGCATTTCTGAGGCCTGCATTCATTTGCTCTCACGAGGAAACAGCTTTCTCCAATTTACTTTAAACCCCCCCCTTGCTGAGCTGCTGGTGCACAGGCTGGCACACAGCTCGTGTGCCCAGCTGGCATCTGCAGTTTTTGCAGATCGTCCTAACGGCTCATGCAGATATTACAGCTGTCAGCACACGCACATCACCGGCTGCAGTTATTTGCAGACTCTGCAGAAAAGCCTGCCCTTGCATGATGGTTTTCCTTCCCATTTCAGGAAACTGTTCCCCTCACAATGGGGACAAAGAGATTTCAGTGACCATCTTGCCAAGGCATTTAAAACAGACGTAACTTGTACAATTTGAAAGCTTGGAGCAGGCAACATGCTTGCACAGCAAGCTGGCTTTAGACGATTGTGTTAGGACTGAGAGGGGTTGAAACCCTGAACAAATCCCCTCGCAGGGGAGCTTCCACAGGCAGCTTTCACTAGCTCAACAGCAGCCACCATGACCTACAAACCACCTCCACCTTCAACATCTGCATTGAGGCTAGTGGTCTGGGGGCAGCAACACCACACAGCTGGATGAGGCAAGGCAGCCCAGAGCTTCAGGCGGGCTGCTAAAGTCTGGGTATGGCTATCATTAAAAAAAAAAAAAAATCAAGCTTATTTTTCCCCTCCATTTTTATTTTCCTTCTGACATCTCCAGTGGCACATGAAAAGTGTCGCTGTGGGCGCACGCTGCCTGCCTGTGCCAGCCGCACGGCTGCAAGAGCTTCTGCCTCTGTGCTGCAACCTGTCAGCACCTCTGACATAAAACACACGCCGGATTCCTCCCCTTTAGATAATTTCCATCAGAGGAAGCCATGCTGTCAGTGGGGTGGAGAAAATGGAGGAATTCCTGTTTACTTTTAGTTTTGAACACTCACTTGGGAGGGGACAATTAAAAACTAACACCTGAAATGGTGACACCAATGGATGTGTCATTAACACATCTGTTTATCTAGAAGACCAACCTCAAGTTTTGTTGATTGAAAATCATTACAGGAGGTGGGTAGCAACTAGGGTGGAACACATGGGAAAACATTGCTCAATATTTGCAGAGGGAAGGAAGCCCAGAGACTCACCTGAAGTGACATGAGAGAAGAAACACAATCCTCTCAAAGAGCACACAGGTAGAAAGGCATATGCTGGTGCTACGCCATGCTCTTGCACTCCCATACCTAAATGTTGTCGCTGTACGTACAGATTCTGATGCTGAGCTGCCATGGATGAGGAGACCTTGGCTTATAAAAGTCATGAGCCCTCATTTTATTTTATGATATACTCGGATTCTGTGAGCCGCTTTAGATCCTATTCCTATTAAGGAACCCCTGCTCATCCAGCTAAAACAAACAAACCCCACTATCTGCTCAATCATTTAGGTTTTTTTTTTTTTAAGCTAAGAGACACCAGATGCTATCCGCTCAATCATTTAGGTTTTTTTTTTAAGCTAAGAGACACCAGAGACTTGCAGCTTGAACCTGACTACATACATATGTAGGCAAAGAGTCACTACAATTCCCATAAGCAATAGTCAAGTGATGCTGACACAGCTGAAACTGCCGCTCTGAGGAGAACATACCTGCCATCCTACAGCATGCACAAGTGGCTTCCATAGGCACAAGTAGCTTCCAAATGATTTAGCCAGAGCTAGCACAGCACTGGCCTGTCATCAGCCAGTCAATCACTGCAGAATGATGAGAGGGGAAGCAGGAGCTCCTGTGGGTCTCCTCAGGACCATTCCCCTAGCAGTTTCCAAATAATAAATGTACACCCAACAACATTTAGAGAGATAAACATACTTAACAGAGTGTCATTACACCTCTCAGAGGCAAGGCCAGTCAGATCATCACAACAACTGGCTTTTACAGAGTTGTAATAGACAAACATGTGAAACATCAGGTTTGAGTTCTGGTGATTTGCAATGACTCTTTCATCTTGATACCGTATCTTCACCAAATAGACCAAACAGGCTCAGTTTGGACCTTCTAACGTTGCCAGATTCTCATGAACACACCTTATCTTTCCTAACTGACCTCCACCCAGAAGCTGACTCTGTTGTCTTGACAAGGGCTTGGGTTATCCAGGATGCTCAAGTCTGATAGGTAAACTCCTTGGGATTACTGATAGCGTTAATACAAGCAGCACTTCAGCTAGCTGGCTCCACACAGCTCACAACAGTTGAAGAGGGAAAAAAACACTCACACCAATAAAACTAAAGCCATGGGTAAGCCAACAACACAGCAAACCAAACCATTTGCCATCTTGTTGACCTGATTCATTCTGAACATGAATTCTGACCAGTTGTTGTACCCAAAACCCCTTCTGTTGTCATCTCTTCAGACAAAGATGTCTTCATAGCAAGGACTGTAACCTCTTTTCTGGCACACTGAATCTTTAGATGCTAAAGATAAGAGATCAGTCAAGCCTGTTGAAGGGAGAATGCTTGTAAAGCCCTGGTTTGTAAACAATCTTCAAAACTCCTGTAAAAAGGATGCAATTTAAAAATTATATATAATTTCTTCTGGTATACACATGAATGTGTGATTTGCAATTTTCAAAAGCTGGGCTCCAATTTAGTTTCAGTGTAACACACACAACATCCCCTTTCCCTTGGGAAACCAGGGAGAACAGACTCCTTGTTACCTTTTCCAAAAAACCCATTTGACGCTTAAATTTATGTCTCATATATATGGCATTTTTCAGACCAGGGCTTTGCAACAATCTCTGTGACACTTTCCTACCCCCATGTTGGGTCTCAGCCTGAAAACTTTAAACGTCTTGCTGTATCCAAGCTTGAATTTATTGAGACTTACAGCTAGATGCTATGGTCAATTCACTCAGTCCGTCCTCGACTAACCTCTTAGGCTTTAGTCAGCTATGCCACAGCATGACCCTAGCTTGATCTCAAGATTATTACAACAAGCCAAACCCGCTCCCGTATCTTTTTTTCTCCAGTTTGGATAGTGGTTTTTGTGGCTGCATAAATGCACTTCTTCCTCGAGCGCCTCCGACGAACAGGGAGGAAGTCGCTCTGGTTCCTGCAGGTCACCGGCTACGGCTTTTTGCCTCTCCCTGGGGGAGTCTAGAGGTTTAAGATTCATCAAGTTAATGAAATGGCAGTGAGGCTGCCAACAGTTTCACGGACTAAAATTAACACAGTTATTTTAATCTCATTCCTTGCCTGACTGCAGCATATCAGATACCCTAGGTATATTACCTGGCCCTTCTTTTCAGTCTTCCTAGCTAAAAATGT